GGAAGCTAGGGTCTTCTATTATTAGATTAAGTCACTGCGATATTATTACCCCTCCCCCTTTTCCTAAAGGAGTCCCGGCGCTCTATTTTCCCCATGGACTTATATAGCCGATGCTTGTAAATTCATGCAACAAGACTTGCCTCCACATCTCAGAAAAGAGAAAGACATGAGTGGGACAGGGTGGTCCATCGGGTACGAGGCAGGCGAAACCTGTCGATTTCGACGAGCTGCGTCTACGGGCCAGAAAGTAGACTTGGACATCTGACAGAAGCCCTGGCCAGCCGTAGAGCTGCATGTAAGCAAAGAAGAACTGCAGGCCAATGAGGTAGACGGCGCCCCCGAGGGCAGCGCGGTCTGTCTCCAAGTAAGGGCTAGCATGAAATCGGCCTGACAGAGAGGAACCAAATGCTGGAGGTGGTGGCGGTGGAACATCAGCAGCCGGTTGTGTGGCCAGAAAGAGTACGGCATTCGGATAGACAATGTGCAGGGTAGCCTCCCAGACGAAGAACCAGAGGATCAAGCGAGCCGCACGCCAACCCAGAGATCGAGCGCACAGTCGCCTCTTCGTCAGACTACCCATAAAGTCAGGTGTGATTTCAATGACAGCTGGTATGTCAACCTAAGGGGGAGAAAAAATAAGTTCGCGAGCATTAGTCGGGCTTGTTCAGGGCCATAAAAGTCCATCGTTAACTACAGCACAAAATTGGAGACACTTTTATTTAATTTGCCATAACTCACAAGAAATACTATATGGGTGTGAATAAAATGCTTCATGGTATCTTCGGCCTTAATTTAAAAAACCTCGCCGCCAAGACTGTAAAATGTCTTTATTAAAGAGGCTTATACCTAGAATATAATTTAACTGTAACTACTTTAAACAGGGCAAAAATGTCGAAACAAAACTTATGATGACACTGAAGTGGCTCCATCATACATCCCACTGGATATATTGGAGCGCCATCAGTGGACAGTTCATATTTTTCGACTGGAGTCTGAAAAAGAACTATTTGTTTAGAAACCTGCTTTCAAGGGTTCACGTACATAAATTCAACTCTCCTGGAGAGAAAGTACATTAAGATCTTCTAGTAGAAGGATGCACCTGAAACTTCGTCTTCTTGCAGGGTTGTATTCAACGAGGGAACATTTCTCAAGAAACTTACGTGACTCTGCTGGTGGTCATGGTGTAAAGCTTGCCTGCGGGCACCAAGTGAACTATGCACTGTTGAAGTAAGAAACAGACGATGACCGGATAGTCTACGTCTAAAGGGTCACTTGGCGAACATCTTCCTCTTCATGAGCGCAAAAACATCGTCTGATGACGAGTCAGACAGCCAAACCTTCTAGTTGCGGTCGCAAGAATTTGTTGAAGGTTCATCTGAACGGGGGCTGTAATGGTCAGATTCGGCTGGGTAACTCTTACAATGGTCACTTTATTAGCCGCTTTGAACTAACCTCTCGATCCAAGTACTGAACGAATACAGCGTTTTGACGTAGAGGAATAGTTAGTTCGGTAAGGCTTTCTTGTGGGGTCGCCTTTGTCTGATTCATTCCCTATTTTCAATGGGTCGAATTTTCGCTTATCCAAACACTTCTTAAATTATGTTAACCAACAGTTGTTCTCATATTGCTATTGGTCTATAAGCATCCTTTGATGACCAATAGGAGGGTATGCTGGTCGATGTGATTCTTTCTGCATGCTCTGCACATATATTTTTAGGGAAAAACTAGTTTATGGAGTGCACTTCATATACCCTAAGTCCCAGCATTTTGTCCTACGGAAACGGTAGTTATAGGGTTTTTGGGGGTGTGGAAATAGGATAGGCAGGGAAAGAAATTTTTAGAAGTAAATGTAAAGTGAAAAATGTAGCCGAATTTGTTTTTCGCGGCCGCTGGAAGTAA